AAAAGAAAGTAAGATAGTTTCTGCCTTCAAGGAACTTGGAAGTAGGGGCTAGGGAGGGGTGGTCAGAGAAATGAAAAGAATGGTGAGTGGAGTCATAGAGCTGTTGTTTGAGGATCCTTTCCAGGGATGGTAGAAAATAGGGGCTGGGTTAGGGCAGAGAATTGCATCAGTGGCATGGTATGAAAGTGTAGATTACATAAAAAATGTTGAAAGCTCACAAATCAGAAGCCCAAGTCCCCAGGACAGTAGGTAGAATTCCAGGTTAGACATGGAGTCCAGAACAGAGGATCAAGGTATGAAAATAGCTGGAGAATGGCAGCATGGGGGTCTGAGCCAAGCCAGACTATCAATAGTCCATGTTTACAGATAGTGAAAAACTTGGTGATTTTTAGCACTCACCATCCCCTTTTCCACCACTTTACCACTGTCACAGAGTTGAACCCAAAGGCCATTTTATAATTTTCCTTGTTTCTTGAGTGTCCTTGGCTAAAAACTTCATCACCTAGTAGCTCTCCTACTAGAGATGAGCCTCTCTGTACTTAGCCAGTCTAAACCTGGGAAATCAAAAGCAAAGATTTAGGACTGGAAGGGACTTGGAGATCATCTAGTCCAATGGCCTTAGGCTCAAGAACACTAAGGGCCTTGCCCATGGTCGCACAGCTAATACACATCAGAGACTGAAGCTTTGTCTTCCTGACTTGCCAGGGCTACAATCTTCAAGAGTTTACAGTCTATTGGCAGAGCCTTCAAGAACTCAGGGTCACTTCCACATCACAGAATGATGGTTCAAAGGATGACTTTCGAGTTTGAGTGTTATAAAAACAAATGGAATTTTAATGTTTGCTGTACAACCATGCCAGACTGAAGCAGAGGAGCAGCCGCTTCTGAATTTTTTCTTTTAAACAGTGAAACATTAGCCCTAGGATTACTCACATTAACTGTTATGGTACACAGAGGCTCGTGCTGAGGGAAGCAGGAAGTTAGGTTTGGGAGAGAAGGTCAAAAGGTGAAGGGCAATCATACATATTCCCTTACTCTGATAATATGCCACTTGACAGCTGTAGGCATTAGCAAGGACGTCCCACTGAAATTTGAAGACTTACATGAACCTGAGTAAACGTTTAGAGGAAACTTAGAGTAAACGTTTAGCCTAGGACAAACAACGGCCCATCCTTCAGCCCTGACCTCGGCTATCGAGTGATGTCAGCAGGGAGCAGGCTGAGAAAGGCAGAGGAAACCCTGAGAAATGAACTGATTAAGTCTGAGGACTGAACCATTCAGAATGAGCAAATGGCAGGGATTATTTTTCTGCTTATATCTTGCTTTGTCAAATATTGGATTATGCTCTTAGCATCTCCTATTTGAAAAAGGAAAACAAAGGCTCAAAGCCCCCCCTTTAGTTCAGTGTAGCAACAAAGTAATGAGACTGATGTGAATTCTCATTACTTTCTCAAATTAACTTGTCTCGCTCCTGAAGCAAGGGTTCTTAACCTTGTTTGTGTCATGGATCCCTTTGATGGTCTGGTGAAACCTATAGACCAATGATAATAATAATAACTATTATTATTATAGCTAGCAAATATATTGTGTTTGAAGGTTTGCAGAGCACTTTACATATATTATCTCATTTGATAGAGAATGTTTTTAAATACATAAAATAAAATACACAGTATTACATAGGAAACAAATTATATTGAAACACAGTCATCAAAATATCTTTTATAAATAAAGTTCATGGACCCCAGGTTCAGAACCCCTGCCCTAGAGTTTTATCAAGTCCAAAAAAATAGCTTAAAATCCAAGTGCAGCCTTTCTCAAGTTGGAATATTTGCCTATAGGCTTAAGTCTGAGGCAGACCTCCATTCTTTAAGTGGTAGCCCTGGAGGAGTTCCAGCCAGTGTGATCATTTGCTCAGCCCTTTTGGATTGGCAGACATGAGGTATGTGTGGTCTCCAGTGTGGTGGCTGTTTTACTGCATACAATTAAAATGGCAGTTTGGAGGAAATAGAGAATCCAGAGCATGGGGAGATGGATTAGGAAGAATTGTGAATGACAGCAGTAGTGTTTTGAAAGTGACAGTGTAATGGGAGCACACCTACTAATAGTTGGGGCTTTAGCACAGATGACAAGATGGAGCTGAATAGGCAGCAGTGGGGAGGGAAGGGAAAGAGTCTATGTCACACTATGAAACCTAAAAATAGTCCTAACTAGGGCATAACAACTAGAGCTTTACCCTAGGGTGCCAAAATTTGGAGTGCTAATGGTATTATTCTGGGGTCGATTCTTCCACACCAATGGCCACACTCCAGGGGAGCTCCCCAACTTTGTGCCCTCTCTTCAGTGATGCCAGCTCTATGCTGGGACATATTTTCCCCAGCAGTCCTGTGCCCTCCTCTGCTCCTAAACAGTGGTCAGTCTCTCTCCCCACTAACCCCTAGTGTCCGCACTTAAGGTGAGCACCCTCAGCTTTGCTTTCTGACTCTGGCTCCCTTTTCCCCCAAGAACAAAAATTCCTAGTTAGCACTCTTTCAAGAAGTATATGGAATGATAATTGCCACGGATGCCATTCCATTCTTTTGCTTAGGTATCTCTCATAATTAGCTGTTTGTAGTAGAGATTCTGGGCCCCCGAAGTGACACAGTGGATAGAATGCTGGGACTGGAGTCAGGAAGACTCATCTTTGTGAGTTCAAATACAGCCTTAGACACTTGTGGTGACCCTGGGAAGTCATTTAACCCCGTTTGCCTCAGTTTCCTCATCTGCAAAATCAACTGGAAAAGAAAATGGCAAACCCCTTGAGTATCTTTGCCATGAAAACCCCAAATGGGGTCACGAAGAATAGGACATGACTGAAAACGAACAACAATGGTGCCTTAGAAACACAAGGACACAATTAGAGAGCAGCTAGTGGCCCTGTATGGCTGAAATGTGTAGTGGAGTAGTGTGAAATAAGGACAAAAAGGTAGTTTGAGGCCAGATTGTGCAAGGCATGTGGACAGCTCATCTGTAAAATGAGCTGGAGAAGGAAAGGGCAAACCACTCCAGTATTGTTGCCGAGAAAACCCCAAATTGGGTCATGAAGAGATGGACACAGCTGAAATGACTAAATAACAGCACATACACACATATATATTATATACACATACACATGAATATGTGTATGTGTATGCATATATGTCTATGCATATAGACATAGACATACTTCTTTTGAGCCTAATAATCCCTTAAAGTAAATTCTGCAGATGTCATTAGCCTTATTTTACAGAAACTGGAGCTCCATCAATCAATCAACAAGTACTTACTATGTGCCAAACACTATGCCAAGCACTGAGATTACAAAAACACAAACACTCTCTGCCCTCAAGGAGTTTACTTTCTAAGGAGAGAAGTAGAGAGGAGATGGGGAAATAACACGTACGCTTATGAGTTGGACATGATTGAACAGCAACAATATATACACACATATACATATGTATATACACAAAAATATGCATGTATTTATGTGTGTGCATATGTATGTATGTATTACAAGGCCATTATGGGAGGGAAAGCACTAAGAGTCTGAGGATCAGGAAACACTTTAGGTAGAAGTTGACACTTGAGCTGAGTCATGAAGGAAACCAGGGTCAGTAGCAGTGAAGAGGGAAAGCATTCCAGGCTTGTGATACAGCCAGTGCAAAGACACACAAAGGATGAGGGAGGATAATGTGTGTGGAACAGCACATGGGCCCAGAATCAAAGGAGAGAATAGTTTATTGGGAAGGTAAGAAGGAACTAGATTATGAAAAGTTTTTTATATTTTTTTATTTTCAGTTCCAAATTCTTCCTCTCCCTCTACCCATTATACATATAAAGTCATACAAAACATATTTCCCCATTAGCCATGCTGTAAAAAAAAAAAATGAAGTTTAAAATGCCAAATACAGAAATTTAGTGGACTTGCCCTTGATCACACAGCTTTTAAGTGTGGAAAAAGGAACTTAAGGCAGATCTTTCTGACTCCCGGTGTAGCATACGCTTTATATCCACCTCATTGAAGACTAGGTTGTGCATTAAAAAAACTGACTGGAAAAGAGACATGAAATGCCCCAGCTCCTCCTCCAACCTGGATACATTCCACCTTGATGCCCATTCAGAAAACACATTGCACCATTCAATTCCTCTGGTGGTCTTACTTTCTCTCCTTTTCTTCCCACTTACAAAATGTATCACAATTCTCTTTATACCCAGTCAACAAGATACATGTCTAGAACCTAAAAGTTTATAAACTCCATGAGGGCAGGGATCATGTCTTAACTAAAATCGTCATCTCCAGTAGCCTTCAAGCCCTTCAAAACCTGGCCCAGGCTGACTAAACATGCCTCTCCTACCGATGTCCAGCCAAACTGGCCCTTCCTCTCCACGCCTTTTCACCGGTTTTCCCCAGGCCTGGAAAGCTCTCCCTCTTCTCCCCGACCCCTTCACAGCCCAGGCTTCCTCCAACGCCTTCCACACACCCACACACCCACACACCCACATATTCTGGTCCACGTGCGGGCCCCAGGCCACACGTACACCTACTTGGCAGCACCCGGGTCAACATGCAGGTACCAGATGCCGCCCCCGGACACGCACATATATACATACACACTACACGCACTACACGACTACACACACATTCCGGTCCACGTGCAGGCCCCAGGCCCCAGGCCCCAGGCCCCACCCCCAGCCCGGGCTCCCGTCAGGAAGCGCAAACTCCCGGTAGTCGCGGGGGGAAAGCTACCTTAGTAACACACCCGGAAGTGGATGGGCGGGCCCTTCCGGGCGCAGCCGATGGACGCGGACGCCGCCCAATGGACAGTGCCGCCGGCGCCGCCGCGCCCAATGGCCGGCGGCGGAGGGCGGGCTCTGGCCGGACGCCCTGGTAACGGCCGCATGGTAACGGGAGAGCCCGGGGCTCGCCGCTCGCCCGCCGCCGCTGTCGCCTCGCTCGCCGTCAGTCAGGCCTTCCCGCCCGCCCGCTCCCCCGCAGCCGTCGCGGCCTCGCCGGCCCAGTTCTCGGCGGCAAGATGAAGATCGAGGAGGTGAAGAGCACCACGAAGACTCAGCGCATCGCCTCGCACAGCCACGTGAAGGGGCTGGGGCTGGACGAGAGCGGCCTGGCCAAGCAGGCGGCCTCCGGGCTGGTGGGGCAGGAGAACGCCCGCGAGGTAGGGGCCGAGGGGGGCCTGCGCCCCGCCTGCCGCCGCGAGGGCCCGTGCACCCATCCTACAGACTGGGAAAGTGGAGACTGGAGAGGGGAGGGGGGCCCGCGGCATTTCTGTAGCGCCTTCGGGTTTGCAAATCACTTTACAAACATTATCTGGCATAAGCCACACTAACCCCAGAGGGGATCAATAGAGGCTGTTATTGTCCCTATTTTACAATTGAGAAAACTGAGACTGGCAGGGGTGAAGTGACTTGCCCACGGTCGTATAGCTAGCGAGTCTGAGGCAGGATTTGAATTCAGGTCTTCCATATTCTTGGCCCAGCGCTCTTTCCACTGCACCACTAGCTGTCTACAGTAACCTTGACATACTGAATAATAAACACGTTTTAGATACATTAACGATAATAATAATAGGTAACACTTATGGAGCGCTTACTATGTCTCAGGCACTGTGCTAAGCACAGGAATGATAATAATAGCTAACATTTATACAGTGATTACTATGTGCCAGGCACTGTGCTGAATACTTTGTAATTAATATCTCATTTGTTTCTCCAGACAACCCTAACTCATTAAATTACCCTAACATATTGAATAATAAACACAATTAAGATACACTAAATAGGTTTGAGTGATGAATTGTAATTTTCACAGCTTAAATCGATCTTTAAAAAAGTATTGTAGGTAAATGGAACGCAACCATTCATTTTCCAGATGAGAAAGCTGGGCATCAGAGAGAACTTGCCCAAATCCAGGCCCAAACCTCAGGGCTTCTGGTTTCCAAACCTTCCCAACCCCTTACTACTCTCAGCTAAGGAAAGCTGTGGACATCAAACAGAACTGTAGTCACCTATCAGCAGTTACATTGATTTGGCAGTATGGCACGGCTTGGTTAACCAAATATGCTAAATACTAGAGGATTCTTGGATATTCCATATGTGGGCTGCTCAGTTAAAGATTAAACAATCCCATGTCCTTGAATATTGGACTTCATTCCTGTTTCCTCATCTGTTAAATGGGTGAACTCCCTCATAGAGTTCTCAAGCTAAATGAGAACATAAAATCCAATGCTGAGATGAGTGAATTTCTTCCCTTGGTGTCCCATGCCTGTCACCAAGTCTACCTTGGAGTAGATGCTTTAATAAATGCTTCCTGAGTTGAAAGAAGGTGTGTGTTTTCTAACCATAAAAATGCTCGAGGGGCAGCTAGGTGGTGCAGTGGATAGAGCACCGGCCCTGAAGTCAGGAGGACCTGAGTTCAAATCCAACCTCAGACCAAACACTTGCTGTGTGACCCTGGCCAAGTCACTCAACCCCAATTGCCTAAAAAAAAAAAATACTGTGAACTGCCATTATTGTTATCATACTTAGCCCTGTGCTTCAGCTGAGCTACGATTTCATCCATATGGACGCTCCTTTCACAAGTGCATATTCTGACTCCTCCATGCCTTAATAAGGAGACAGTCTCCATGAGTTATTGTGCCTTTCTCCCTCCCTCAATTTCATCACCTGGTTCCTTCTGGTAATGAGACTTTCTGAACTGAGCCTTTGGAAAAGTACCCTCTTTTTTCTTTGGAGCCCCTCTGTCACTGGGTGTGTTCTAGAAGCCCTTTGACACTTGGGGTAGGACAGAGTATAGGCGCTGCCTCAGTCAAGCTGAAACCTGTTAAAGACCTTAGTTTGAAAAGGCCAAGGTCTCCCACCACATACTGGGCCATCTCCAGTCGACCTGATCCATATCTGGCCACTGGACGCAGATGGCTGCAGAGGAGAAAGTGAGGCTGGTGACCTTGCACAGCCCTCCCTCGCTGAAATCACCTTCCTGATGTTATGGGCCTCTTCAAGAAGCCCATACAGCCCATAAACCCATACAGAAGACAAACAGCAACAGCAGGGACAGGGTAGTGAGGTATAGTGGGAGAAGGGCTAGATCCGGAACTGGGGTACTGAGTTGATTCCCACCTCGACCAGTAACTGGCTTTGTGACCCCATCAGCAAATCCCCTAACTTCTCTGGGCCCATCAGAAAATGAAGTGGCCACATGATCCCCTCTTCAAGCCTCTCAAGCCGATGGTCCTGTGAGCTGCCAAGTCTTGGGTTCCGTTAGTGTGGCCTTCCGGATGGATCCCTGGATGGTCTTGGTGTCCCAGTGAGGAATGTCTCATGGGGGAGGACTTAACAGTGATCAAGGTCCTGAGGTGGCTTTGTGTTATCTGTCACAGTGAACATCAATTATTGCCTTGTTGAAATTCGACACTAGTTAAGATTGCTGCATGATAGATTGCTTGATAGAACTACTGTGCATCTCATCTCCTTGAGCTGCAGCCTGAACTTCTTGTAAAATGTTTTAATATTGATGTTATTATTTCTTTTCCTTTGGTGGTGTCTAGGCATGTGGTGTAATAGTAGAATTAATCAAAAGCAAGAAAATGGCCGGGAGAGCTGTTTTGTTGGCAGGACCTCCTGGAACTGGCAAGGTATCTTTTTTCTCATTTCTCTAATCTATCCAGAAAGTGGTCTCAGTGTCTAAGCCAAACTGAACTTATGTCTTAACTATGCTTTGTTTTCCCAGGTTGGTTGGGTTTCTTTAAAAGGACCATGTGAAGTAATATAGTTGGGTATCTAACATTCAGACTCTCCTGGCATACTTCCAAGGGAAGAGGGATTGAGGTCCTTGGAGGAGGTTCATTGTCTGAAACTTGTCTTCTATATCTTATTCCTTCTCCAGCAGAAAAATACTTTTTGGTCTGTGGCTTCTGAGAACTTATAAAAGTAATTTCCCATTTAAAGGGTAAGAGATTAATTCAAGGAGTACTGATTGAGAACCTACTGCATGCTTGGCTCTGGGAGCTCCATTAGTTTGTGACATGGGCCCTCCCAGTAAGGACCTTAAAACCTAGAAAGAGGAGGAACACATAAGAAGACAGAGCAGTTTTTTCAAATAGTGCATAATTATTAACTTTATAACACTGACCATAAAATGGAATTGAGTTCAGAAGAGGGCGAGATTGTTATGAGGGCATTAGTCTGTCATCTGAAAACCACCAAACATTAGATTTTGCTTATCCAAAAAATGGAGAATGGAGACTTTGGAGGCTCTGCAGTAAGAATATAGCAGCTCTGGGAATCCCTGCAGATTCTACTCCAAGGGCTCCAGTAACTGACCAGCAGGCAGTCTCATAATTTCCCCAAAGGAAATGTTCTTGTCTTGTAGATAGTCTGATGTTTGACCTCAGTGAATATTGACTACATCTTTGCAAACCTCACGGTTTCTGATACAAGACTTGTTGAATGAGTACTCGACCTTATTCGGGCTCCTCTTGTCTCAAAATCAATAAGACTAGTCGTTTGGAAGGCGGCCTTTCCGTAGGGCTCTGTTGCTGTTAGGGTTTACCCACATCCTGCCTGTGTTTGCACCCCCCATTTCGTCCTCATTGGTCTCCTGCTTTCAGTCTCTCCTGTCCACAGAAGTACCAAATAAATATTTCTAAAGCACGGATCAGACGTCACTCGCCCACCCAAAGATCTTTGATGACCTCCTGTTGTTTCTAGAACAAAATACGAAATCCTCTGTCTGGCTTGTATAGCAGTCTTTAATACAGCTCTCATGGAGGTGTCTCATCTCATTCCTCTCACCTCCTGTTCTTCGTGTTGGGTTCTCCTGTAGCTCTTACCTGGGAATGGCAGTCCATTGGCTATGTCTGGCCTTTTGCACCTGGAGTCCCTTAGGCCTAAAATGTACTTTTCCCTCATCTCCACCTCTTCAAAACTCGAGGTACAGCTCAGGAACCTTAGGTGCCCACTCCTACATGAAGCCTTTCCTGATTCTTTCTTGATCCTGAAATTGAATTTGCAATTCTATCTATTTTACATTTGTATGCAAGTGTCACTCTAGAAGAATGTAAGCCTCTTGAGGGCAGGGGCTTTTTAGTTTTTATCTTTGTATCCTCAATGTCTTATATATAGTAGGAGTTTAATAAATATTTGTTGAATTGAATTAGATGCTCATTTAAAATTTTTCTAAGGTCGTTCTCCCACCCTTCCTGACCCTTTTACTTGGTAAGGTAGAATTTCAGCTTTAAAATCACTTAGCTATTTTAATACATTCAGTGCTGACCAAGCATTATTTTTTCCTCAGATAATTTCTAAAGGATGCAGGGTTTTTTTTTCCCTGTATTTGAAAAAAATAATATTTTTTTAATGTATCAAAAGTATACAGTATTAATGTTTTCTATAGCAATTAGACCACGATCTCACTTTTTAGATGTGAGGGGAGATTGATGATTTTACTCCTTCTCTTTTTGTGATTAAAGATGCTTCTAAGTTACAGATTGTGAAGTCATTAGGAATGTATCCTGTGAACTTAGCAAATGATATGAAAACAAGAAGGTAGAACTTTACTTAAAAATTTGAATTTTTTTTTTTTTTTTTTTTTGGCATTTATAGACAGCCCTAGCCCTGGCTATTGCTCAAGAGCTGGGTAGTAAGGTCCCCTTCTGTCCCATGGTGGGAAGTGAAGTCTACTCTACAGAAATTAAGAAGACAGAAGTTCTGATGGAAAACTTCAGAAGGGCAATTGGTGAGTATCAAAATTGAATAGCGAAGTTGTTCATGCCCTCATCAATGGAGGGAAATCTGGCTGATAGAATTCAACTTTTCAAATTTGGATCTCTTGAATGGTGACTATGTTTTTCTCATTTAGCTCTATGTTTGTAGGCAGAGAACCTGGGTTTGAATCCTGTAGGACTTTGAGCAAATGTGACATCCCTCCAGTTCTGTTTTCTCATTTGTAAAAAAAAAAAGGGGGGGGGGTGGCTGGGCTAGATGACACCTAAGCTCTGAAGCATCTCTGATCTTAGGATCTATTACCTCTGCTTTTATCATTGATTGTAATTTTACTTTATTAAAGTGCTTTAAAAATACATTTCCAAAGAAATCACGGCAAAATGTAGTTGACAGGACAAATGTACTTCACTTAACAGAATAGATGAATGCAGGTAGAGTTATTTGTTATATAAATTTTTATAAAATGAATCCTATTTTAGAGACTACTTTATATTTTAAGTTTTTTTTTTTCAGGTAAGGATTTTTTTAACTAAGCTGTCTTTCCCACTACCCTTCTCCCTCTCCCTGGCTGCAAATTGAGCAATTTATTTATTTTTTTTTAGTTCTTGAAAAATAAAGCCTTCAATACAGAGCTGCATAGTCTGGCAAAACAATCTAGAGCGTTGGCCATGTTTCTCTGAATTTTTAACTTCATCATCTGTTAGAAGATGAGTAACATGGGGCAGCTAGGTGGCATAGTGGATAGAGCCCTGGGCCTGGAGTCAGGAAGACCTGAGTTCAGATCTGGCCTCAGGTACATATTAGCTGTGTAACTTTTTGCCTCATTTCCTCATCTGTAAAATGAGCTGGAGAAGGAAATAGCAAACTACTCCATTGTCTTTGCCAAGAAAACCCCAAACGGGGTCATGAAGAGTCAAGACACAACTTAACAACAAAGAAGTGTATTTCATTTTCATTCTTTGGAATTTCTGTTTTATCTTTCAAAGTTGTTTTTCTCTAATGTTATTATTACAGAAATTGTTCCCCAAATTCTCATTTCTCTGCATGAAATCGTAAGGATCTTCCCATTTTCTTCTAAAACTATCTGTTTCATCATTTCTTATAGTATAGGATATTCTATTTCATTCATATATCATTATTTAGCTATTTCCCAACAGAACACCCCTTTAGTTTTCATTTTGGGGCTACTAGGAAAAGAGCTGCTACAAATATTTTTGTATATATAGATCCTTTACTTCTTTTCTTTGATTTCTTTGATATAGTGAGCTAGTAGTACTGTAGTTGGGTCAAGATATATGGACAGTTAGTGACTTTTTGCATATGGTCCCAAATTGCTGTCCAGAGCGGTTGGACCAATGCACATCTCCTCCAGCAGTGCGTCAATGTTCCTGTTTTCCCATAACCCCTCCAACATTTGTCTTTTTCCTCTTCTTGTCTTCTTTGCCAGACTGATGGATTTGAGGTAGAACCTCAAAATTGCTTTAATTTGCATTTCTCTTAATTATTAGTGATTTAAGTGATTCTTTCATGTGATTGTTGATAACTTGGATTTGTTTCTTTGAAAACTGCTGGTTCATATCTTTTGGTCATTTTTCTTTTGGGAGACTACTTGATAATTTTATAGATCAATCCCATGTAAAAAATTTGAGAATATTGTCATAATGTCTCCTAGTTCCTGTGTCTTAAAGACCTTAGGGAAAATACTCAACTTTCTAGAAGTTTTGGAGTTTAAGGACCTGCCTTTATCCATGAAGCATCCTAGGTGAACTCCAGGGCTTTATTCGTCATGGATGTTTGCACACTGTGCAGGGAGAATGAATATCTTTTCTCTTAGCTCATCTATTAGTCAACCCACAAGCATTTATTAGGAACCTACCATATGCCAGGCCCTGTGCTGCTCTCGGTGGCAGGGATACAAATACTTGTCCTCCCAGAAGACTGAGGTACGTATCAGGAATTGGGGATTTGGTTAAGGAGCTTGGGTCTAAGGCTAGGTCCTGGAGACTGTGGATGGAACCATAAAGTTAGTGGATGTCGCCTCCTTTTCAATAAAAGTGGTGATGGTTTGATAGTGCAAATGGCACAATGTGACTGTGGGTTAGGCCCTGGTGTCCTGATGGGATTAAGCGTGGTTTGGGTCTGACTAGTCACAGAAGGCTGAAGGGGTGACTGACTAGGGTGCCTCCTCTCTCGACCGGTGCTTCTTAAACTTCTTAAACTGTGATTCACGCTCAAAGGGTAGCAAGTGGAAAACGTTTAAGAAGCCCTGCTCTAGACTTGGTTCCCGAACTAAATGGATTGATTTCCCCGGCCTTATGGGAGAAGTAGGGGTTGGGTTGGGTTGAGTTGGGAGGGTCACTGTTTTTGGTGGGGTGAGTCAGGCATTGACAGGACAGATGGCTAGATGCCAACACTGGCAGTGCCCTGGTGTCATGGGATCATCAGCTCATCTCTGTAGAGTGCTTCTTCAGGATTCACCAGTTTGCATTTCATCACAGGAAAGGAATCCGAGACCATCTAATCCAGCCCCCCACCCCCCTTTTTTTCCCCTAACAAATGAGGCCTAGAAAGGTCCAACAACTTCCCCAAGGTTTTGAAGCAGTCAGTGGTATAGATAGGAAGGCTCCAAATGAAAATCTCCTCACTTCCAAGTTCAGCGTTCATCTCATGATATAGCACAGCTTGGATAGAAATTGAGTAGAAGACTGGCCTACAGCTCAGCTGAAGAAGATCAAGAACTTTTCCTGAGTAAGATTGCAAGCTAAATGAAAATTGAAAAAGCAAAGTTGGAAACAGCAACAAGCTTGGTAAAGAGTAGCAATGATACTTGTTCACTCTTTAAAAGAATTAAGTTGTACTATTTGGTTTCCTCTTTACAAGGAATGGATTTCCTTGTTTTTAGCCAACCTTTTGGGAAGCAGTCTTTTTCAAGGTTATGGCAGCATAGGGGCTTAATTGTGGTTATTGGAATATAAATAGCTTTAAGAAAGTCTTTGTGAGAGACATGTCTTCTTCAGTCAGGGTCAGGGCAGTTCAGGTAGAAAGACCAATAGAGTCTCCCACAGATCTCTTTGAACCTGAGGATCTTTTTGGTCAAAGACTGAGTACCTTCTTAATAGCCGATGGTCTGGAGCCCAGATTTTGATTCCTTTAATGCTGTTATCGCTATGTCTGGTCTCCCTTTACGTTATGTCATAAACCAATTGTTGATCTTGTTAATTGTAATGATTGCTGCTTTAGTTCTAACAAGTGTATACCCGTTCCTTGGACTTGATTTAATTTTATCTAGAACAAAGTTTAATTTACAAGTGGTACCTCACCAAATGTTGAAAATCTTCCTGTTTTTATATGTACCTTTCTGACAGCTGATAAAATCTTGTCAAAACTTGCTTTTTTATGCTGTTGGTTTCCCAAAAGATAACTTAATTGCCTTTAGTTCTGAAAACATTCACGATAAATTTCTCTGGCTTCCATTTTGTGACTTGCTGTGTCTCCTTTCTTGGTCTGTGCTGTTGCAGCAAGGTGAGAAAAAAGTCTTAATCCTGCTGCTGTGCAAAAGAGAAGGCCATTGAATGTCATCAAAGAGGGCTTCCGTCTTGGGCAGCCTTTGAATTCCCCCTAAATGGGCGGGGGAGGGGAAGAGCGGGTACCTGAACCGAAAGAAGGAGCGAGGAGTCGGGGTTGTTTCCTTGATGTGATGAAGGTCCCTGTCAGGGATTTGGAAACTTGAACCCGCAGATGAAACGCGTGTCATCTGCGTTGTCATTTTCAGAGACAGCAACAATTTGCCTCCTTTGTGGCTACCGGCCGGCCACATTCCCTGCATGTCAGCACAGCCACTTCTAAACAAATACAGGCACTAGTGAAAGATGGGAATTCTCCATCTCCATTTGGAGGAATTTCATGTCATATTCACCTCACACAAAATATTGTTAGGCATTCCATCTAGAAGATTTATTTCTTTTTGATATAAAATATTTCATTTTTTAAATGTATTCAAAGCCGTATTTCAAGTGCTATTCAGATTCCTTTTCATCTTGCACTCTGTTATCCCTGTCTTTTGAAAACTTTGCAGTTGTCTTAGTGTTCATGAACCCTATGATACTTTGTAGGGACACAAAAGATGCTTATCTTGTCTTTTACCATTATTTTAAATCTTTAATTTAATTTGAGTTGATGAAGACTTTTAAGATTCAGTAATGAAAGGAACCTTAATCATCTAGCCCAGCCCCCTTCATTTTACAGATTAGGAAACTGAGGTCCAGGGAAGTTATGAGGGAACAGAACTAACATTCCAAAGCCAGCCGTTCTGACTCCAGACTCAAGGCTCTTTCCATGCACTCTGCTGCCTCCTTCAGTACCGGCCCTTCATGATTTAGAGCCAGAAGGGACCTTGAATTCATTGAGTCCAATGCCCTCAATTTACCAATGGGGAAACTGAGGCTACGAGATGGGAGATGACTTGCCCACGGGTCCATTGGTGGTATGTGAGCCCAGGGTTTGCTGGCTCTCACACCATTTTTCTTTTAGAGTTCTCTTAGTTCCTCAAAGAAGAAAGCAGGGTGGTCTCCAAGGGTGGATGCTTTTTCCTTTAGAAAGTGGAGAGGATTTGGAAGGTTTAGTGCAATGGAGGGCAATCAGGATAGGGATAGTTTGTGGTTAGGATATTGAAACCGATCCTGGTTCTTAAGAAAGCTCTCTCACACACGTGGTCTTCTTTGGTCATTCCAACAATTGGGTGTGAAAGGGAAAGGAGAAATGGAAATCTTCATTTGGCAAATGAGGAAACAGAAGCTGAGTCGTTCATTCAGGGTCACAATTCATTTGTTTCGGGGTCAGGCCTTTGGATTCTTACTCCATTGCTCTGATCTGAATCCGGTGGCTGCTTTCTCTCTAGAGTCTGCTAGGTTCTGGTTTAAGCTGGCAGCTTTGGGAGGCCTAGGGCCTGGGATAGAAAAACACCAGGGCTGATGATGATTTTCTGCTTGTCCTCCATTCCCTCTGGCTTCAGATCAAAAAGTGAGGATTGTCACTTAACCAAAACTGCTCCCTACGAAGTGACCACTGATCTCTTATTTGCCAAATCTGATGGTCTTTGCTCGGTCCTTATTCTTCTCTACCTATTTGGGGTTGGTGGGAATGGAGGGCAAAGGAAGGGGGAACAAGCATTTATTAAGCACCTACTGTGTGCCAGGCACTGTGCTAAACGCTTTGCAAATACTTTCTTATTTGATCCTCACAACAGCCGTGGGAGGTAGGTGCTGTGATTATGCCCATTTTTATAGTTGAGGAAACTGAAGCAGGCAGAGGTTAAGTGACTTGCCCAGAGTCATGCAGCTAGTAAGTGTCTGGAAGCCAAATTTTAACGTCCTGGGTCTTCCTGACTCCAGACCCAGCCCCTCCATTGTGTCACCCACCTGCTTCATTTGACGCTGGTGACCAGGTCTCTCCCTCCCTGGGTTATTGTGACATTGCTCTCTGGCCTGTCTGACAGCTCTTTGATAGCTTCTCATCTGTTTTGTGCCCTGTGACTGCGGATGTTCCCCAAGGTTCTGTTGTCTTGGACCCTGTTTTCTTCTTAGTAACCTCTTGAGCTCTCCTGGTTTTAACTGTAATCTATGCGGATGACTCTAACCCAGCTATTTAGCTCAGACCTTCACAACTAAGGGATTACATGTTGGACATTTCACACTGGGTGTCCTGGAACACTTAAACTTAGTGGGTCCACCCCACACACCTCCGCTCCAGCCCTCTCTTCCAGACTTAATATTTCTGCCAAAGTCAGCCCCACCCTAGCCCCACCCCTGGCTCCAGGGTTCCTGCCCGCCTTCTCTACTCCCTCCACAGATCCAACCCACTTCTCATAGCTTTCTCTGTCCTCCTTCACAAGCCCTTTCTTCTCTGGCCCCTGTCTTTCTCACTACCCTGCCTCTCTCCAGGCTTCATTAACTCTCTCTGGGATTGTTGTGCCAGCCTCCTGAGTGATCTCCCTGCCTCACAGCCTCTGCTCACTCAAGTCCAGCCTACCCGTTGCTACCAAAATAATTTTCCTGAAACACATATTTGGCTATATGACTCCCATATTCAATAAGCTCCTGTGCCTCTGGGGTAAAATATAAGCTCTTTTTTTTTAGCTTTTAAATCTCTTCACAACCTGGTCCTAATCTGTCTTTTCAGCCTCCAAGGTCACTATTGCCCCTCCCTCCCTCCCTTTGTGATCTGGCCAAACTGGCCTCTCTGACCTGCTGCAGGACACTCTCCCTTGTGTCTGGGCCTTTGCCCTGGTCGTCCCACAGGCCTGCAACGCACCCTCTCCTTACCTCCACCATGGAGATTACACTTTTCCTTTAAAGCAGAGCTCAGGCACCATCTTCTGCAAGAACACTTGTCCTGGTTTCCCCCAGCCACTAGTTCTCCACCTCCCAAATTACCTTGCATTAAGTGCTTTGGATTTATTTGTACTTACTCATTGTGTATTTATGCTCTCTATCTTTTTATACTTACTTGTTTTCTCTTCCGTTAGAATGTAAGCTCCTTTCGAGTGGGGCTTGTTTCGTTCCATTGTATGTGTATCTGCAGGGTTTGGCACGTGGTAGAAGCTTCATAAATACTTGTTGTTGATTCATTGATTGACGGAAAGAGAAATGAGGGGTATACTGACAGGTACAGGCATGGGGTGGAAGGAGAGACAGGGTCACTGGCAGAATCGTAATGAATGAGGGCAGAGAAGCAGGAGAGGTTAGTGATAAGAAATGACCACTAGGTCAGTCTTGGTTTATTTCTTCAGCTAGATTCCATCAGATTTCCCATAAATTTAGAAGCTTTGGTGTTATTTAAGGGGTGTATTTTCAGACATTATGGGCCTGACAATGTTTCTTCAAATTCTTGGTGTTCATACCAGGTGCTCTGACTTAGAATTACTTTTTGTTGGTATTTCTAGACCCTCTAAAAATAGATTTAATACAGGAGCTGTTAAGTTATCTTTGGCATGGTGTCTCTTGTTGAAAGCCTTCCGTATTTACTCACCTAGACTTCAGAGATCACTGCATACAGGCATATGTTCAGGGACACCTGTCATTTGTTTCATGTTTAAGAGAGCTTTCTGTCCTTCCAGTCTGTCATTTTTGTTGTAAAAACCGTATGTTTAAGTCCCAGGCCAGCAGGGGGAGACATTTCTGAGTTGTTTTTTCCAAAGGAAAAAAAACCAGGTTTGATCCAGAAAATTATTTAGATTTTTTTTTTTTAGTGTAGAGAATAAGATTAAATTCTAGAGCTCAGCACTTAAATATTGGAAAGGCTGATTATGGATGAAGCATGTATGAAGCATGAAGCATGTCTCCATAGCTGGCTTCTGTTCCATGGAAAGAACAGGCGTGATGGATCATCCTGGGAGCTGGAGGAACACATTCCCTGCGTTAGGTGACAGCACACATGTTAATCTCTGACTCTGACTTCCATTTCTAAAAATACCCCCTGTGGGTTTTGGAGGGGGCAGAGGGAGGGAGGAAGATGCAGAGAGGAGGGGGGAGAGAGGGAGAGTATGTCAGATATGTTGGACAGTCTTCCTCTGATCTCTGATGAAGTGTGGTGTCCCCACCTCTTTACTCCCCACTTGCAGAGACCTCACCAACCTAGATTTCCATATTTTTTTGTGTAGATTTCTGATCTAGATGTGTCCAAGTAAAGTGTTCAATAAAACAAGTAATTTTCTATCTCAAACTATTGGTGTTTACCATCTTCTAAAAAGGTTACATGCTTTCCTAAAAGGGAGGGAAGGAGACAACTTTAAAACTGACCTAGGGGGCAGCTAGGTGGCGCAGTGGATAGAGCACCCGCCTTGGAGTCAGGAGGACCTGAGTTCAAATATGGTTTCAGACACTTAACACTTACTAGCTGTGTGACCCTGGGCAAGTCACTTAACCCCGAGTGCCTCACCAAAAAGCAAAAACAAACACAAAAACTGACCTAGAGACTCACAGTTGTTGACTTCTTGGAAAACATTTTTTGTACCTTTAAGTTAATTGTAGAGATACTATTTAATTTCTGTGAGAGTTAATCAGCTATAAGTAAATTTCTACCCCGAGGTAGACATATCTTCTTTTTTTACAGTAGCTACTGTTCCAGACTGGAGATACTGGGGTGGGTATGGTGGGCTTTTTGTTATTTTCTTGTATTTTATTGAGATTCTGAAAATGTAATTTTCAGTTTATGTCAAGTGCAGCTTCAAAATAGGTAATTGGAACAATAGAGATAATACTTTCATGTTAAGGAGCTGTGGTTTTGTCAGCATGGGAACGTCCAGTGCTTTGTCTTAGACTTGCCAGGAGTCTCAGAGGGGGTTCGATGCCTTGCCTGAGATCTCACAGCCAGTAAGCATCAGAAGCTAAATTAAAACCCAGGTCTTCCTGATCAAGTATGTCCTTTGTGCCATGCTTCCTGTGGTGAAGAAATGTGTAGATTTGGGTGTACATTCCTACCATCTGGGTGTCATGGCACTCGGGACTTTCTAATGGTTCCAAGAGGTGGGGGTGGGGTAACTAAGACATGAAGTGTCTCACTGTGCCCATTTCTCCTCTCTTACAGGTCTGAGGATAAAGGAGACCAAGGAAGTTTACGAAGGTGAAGTCACTGAGTTGACTCCATGTGAGACTGAAAACCCCATGGGTGGATATGGCAAAACCATCAGCCATGTGATCATAGGACTTAAAACAGCAAAAGGAACCAAACAGTTGAAAGTGAGTAAGTTTTGGCTGACTGTTCTCTCGTGCTGTGTGCAGGCTTTGTGTGATCCTTTTTTGATGTTATTGAATTAACTTCATAGTTATAAAAGGTTAGAGCTGGGAGGAACAAATGGTCTGTGTGACTCTCAGTTGATAGTTGAAGAATTGCTGGGCTGTCGGTCACAGAGCCAGGGAATGTTGGAGCTGGGCCTGAAGGCTGGACTCTAACTGGCCAGGTCTTTTTTGCTCCCATGGTCTTTACTGATTAAGAGAGCTCAGTGTGGTTTATGTTTCTGTCCGTAGTCCTTCAAGGAGGTGAAGTGCCTTTGCCAAGAAGCAGAAAGGACAGGTGTCTGGCCACAGCTTGGGGACCCTCCTGAGAAGAAGGGAGAGGGGGCTTGAGGATGCACAGTTTCCTCTGGCCAGGCGCTTGCCGACTGTGTGACCTGGAGCTTCCCTCACCTGCCTGCTCTGCAAATGAGTTTCCTCATCTGCAAAATGAAGGGCTTGAGCTTGAGGCACTTTCAGGCACAGAGCTTTGGTGATTCTGTATGTCTTGGTCACTGGTTTATAGAGACCAACTAAGGTCGTTGATGGCAATAGCTGTTTTTTCTTTCTCTTAAATCATCCCCATCAGAAGCTTTCTCATCTCTAGTGTGCCTGTGTTAATGAGATTTATAGCAGAGTCTTCCATTTCTTTAGTAATTACCAGGTCTTTAGTTCATTTGGAAATTAAACAACAAAAAATACTACAGACAAAAATTGAAAACAATTTGCAGTCCATATTAGAGCCTAAATGAAGCGGTGCATACAGCTAAGATTTCTGCTGTACTTTGTCACTGGGAGAAGAACCTTTGCTTTTGGGAAAGTTCCTGGATTTAAGTCTCCAAGATTGCCCTTCATTTTTCCATGTCAGATTGGTGTGTTCACTTAGTAGATATCCAATCACAGCTCCCATGCCTATAGAGAACCTCCTCTTTACAAAGTGCTCTGCACACATAGCGTGCAATCCTGCTGCTGCCTGAAGCCACCAGAGCAGACCTTATGTCACTGAAAAGTGAGAAGGATGAGCTGTTTTTACTGGCTCTGGGACTGTGAGCGGGGACAGGCTTCTAACCCCACATCTACAGTGCTTGTCCATGCCCTCCTCCCAGGGTGGGCTACATATTGGGTGTCCAGCTATTTGACTGATATTGAAGTCACACACACACACCCCCCTTAGCAAAGAGAAACCATTCTTGAAGTTTAATAGTCAGTCTACAAGCATTTACTAACCACCTGCCTTATGCCAGGCAGGATGGTGAGGACTTGGGGTTAAAGACAGAAAATGAAGCAGCCCTGCCCCTAAAGAGCGGAGCAGCAGAGATGAGAGATCCCCGAGAGGGAGGGCACTAGCAGTGGGTGTATTGGGAAATGCTTCAGGTAGGAGGCAGTGCTTCAGCTGAATCTTAAAGGAAGTAAGGAGTCCTTCAGGATGGGGAGCACCGGTTGCGGGAATAGTAAAGCCTGTTTGATTGGACTGGAGAGCGAAGGACGAATAATGAATAAGGAGGTTGGAAAGGGCCCAGAAAGCCACATGGTCAGTTTTTAGTCAGTTTTTAAATCCGTTTTCTGAAAACTTGCTATGTTGTCCCTGACATTTGAAATTTGTATTGAGACATTAAGATGTTCGAGAAATCTTCTGCTGGGACATCAGGAAATTCACTGATCCCAGGAGAAGATTTAATCGGGGCGTCGGCAGCTGTTTCAGCCCCTGCCTGAAGACCTGCAATGAAGGAGAAGCCTCCGTCTGCCAAGGCAGCCTGCAAGGTCATCCTGAAAGTCAGCCTTGAGTTTGTCTTCTTGCAGCTTCTAGGCTCTGAAACCTAACAGAGCATCTGATCCCTTATGCATATTCCAACTCTTTCAGTACTTTCCTGCCCTGAGACTTTCCAGTTCCTTCAGCTGATCCTTGGGCAGCATGGACTGAGAACCCTTCTCCATTCTGATTGCCTTCCTCCAGATCAGGGCTGCTTAACCCTTTGGATGGTCTGGGAGAGCCAGACATGGCTCTCAGAATTCTGTTTCAGAGTGAGGAAAGTGCTAAATTTTAGTTTGAAGTCAGTGAATATAAAGATGTAATTTTTTTTTCCCATCTAAGTTCATAGTCCCTGTGAAATCTATCCTTCAAGCTCAGATTTTTTTTCTTTTTTTTTTCTTTTTATGAGGCCATTGGGGTTAAGTGACTTGCCCAGGGTCACACAGCTACTAAGTGTCAAGTGTCAGGTGTCTGAGGTCACATTTGAACTTGGGTCCTTCTGACTCCAAGGCCAGAGCTCTATCCACTGCACCACCTAGCTGCCCCTAGATTTTTTTCTAATGCAGTTCTCCAGATGTGTTCTGATCAGAGGAAAGTGTGGAGGGACTGTCACTGACTCCTAGGAGCTGTGCCTCTTTGAAGATGTAGTCCAGAGGGACAGCTCAGTGGTGCAGTGGATAGAGCACCAACCCTGGAGTCAGAAGGACCTGAGTTCAAATGCAGCCTCAGACACATAACACTTACTAGACCCCCAGATCTTTTTCAGATAAACTGCTGTCTAACCATACTCCTGCACTGAACATGTGAAGTTGATTCTTTGAATCCTAGTGTAACACTTTGCATTTATCATTAATAAGAATGGAGAGATTGGAAGACTTCCTACTCCTCAAGTTACTTTAAACTTTAAGAAAATAACTAAGGAGAATAAAGGTAGATATGCTATAATATTGTGGAAAGAGCCCTGGTAATCAGGATCCATGGTAGTTAGCCATAACTGCCACTTTTTCTCCTTGTGACCTGGGGGCAAGTCCATCTTTTCTCTTTTAGCCTCAGTTTACTTCTCTGTCCAGTGAAGAGATGGACTTAATATTCTTTTAACATCCCTTCAAGCTCTAATAGTCTGTGGATTGTTTAGTGAGTCACATTTAGTCAAATCCTCTCCTAAGTAGTTTGTCATTGTTGAACAAGACCTGAAAGGTATTTCAGTCTTCCAAAGAAAGCCTGTCCTTAAGAAGCCTTCACTGACTCCCAGAATGGCCAGGTACAAGAGAGTGGCGAGGTGGGAAGGAAGGCTTGGCCCTACTGTGACCTCTGCTTGCCCTACAGCTGCCATGCGCTCTTGCTGGGTGACCACCATGCCAGTTAGGAGGGTGTGTGTGTGTGTGTGTGTGTGTGTGTCTGTGTCTGTGTGTGTACGTGTACACACTGCAGAATTTGTACCGGATGGGATGTTCATCAGGCTAGCTTTAGCATACAATAGGTGGCTTTTACATCACAACCTTTCAAAGAGAGGTAACTTCTCAACAGGTCCCAGAGTAAGCTGTGCTTGTCTGCCAACTTTTAAATCATCCTCTCAATAATTTTAAGTTTTCTTAAATCCAAAGTAAGACAGTGTTTCGTTCTAATGGGACATCTGTATCCAGCTCTATACTTAGCTCTCCAAAATGTAAATGACTTTCTGCTCTTATAAAAAAGCCCTTTAGTTACTGAATTTCTGGTTCTGTACCATAGTTTTTTAATGCTTTATTCTGACTCTTGATTTCAGCTGGACCCCAGTATCTTTGAAAGTTTACAGAAAGAGCGAGTGGAGGCTGGAGATGTAATATACATAGAAGCAAACAGTGGTGCAGTGAAGGTAACCATTGGAGAGGGTCCCGACTTGTGCCTGGAGAGCGGTGACACCCAGCACCCCTTTTCTCTTTTGTTAAAACTTGTTCATTTGTTTGCCGTAGGTGGCTATAGGAGCAGGGGTTGGGGTTTTTTCCCCTTGAGAAAGAAAAGGTTTCCTGCTCTTGTTTTTGAGTCAGGGCTGGGTAGTGGAAATGATATTGGATGTAAAGTCAGGACCTGGGTTCAAATCCTAACGCCTTTCCTTTATTATCTTTGAAACCTTGGGTAAGTCACTTAATGTCTGCGCCTCAGTTTATTCTCCATTTGTAAGATGAAGAAGTTGGTCAGCAGGATCTTTGAGGCTGCTTCCCTTCTAACAATAAATTGTACCTCTGACCCGATGAAATGCCTGATGTACTGGTATCAGGTGGGCAAGAACACTGCCCGTGGCTGTCCTGCTGGCACCTACAAGGGGAATAGAAGTTGTTTTCCTTTTCAGTAGTCCTTTGACCTCAGCAGGATCAAAATTCTCTTTAAAAATAAATAAATAAGATGTAAAACATATTTAGAGGAGAGTTGAGGGTGGGAAACCGAAACGACTTTAGTCATTCTAGAATTGAAATGTGCAGTGCATTTAATCTTCTTTTTATCTCTTTGGTATTTTCTTCCCAAGATATATGCATGGGGAAGGGAATACTGCATTAGTTGGCATTCTTTTCCTATCTGATTTTAAATGTGCTGTACAGTGTTACTTGCTGTTTAATGGATGAGCATAATATTTCGTATCATACAATAAATCACCCACCTACAAAAGAGTCTGAACGGCTCCCTCAGTCTCCAGTTAATCTGCTGGATTTGTCCTTTATCAGGCATTGCATACAGTTAAAAGAAAAGGAGGGGGAAAAGATTCCAAGTAGAGAAAATATCAGGTGTTTTTCAACAGGGTTTTTGAGCCTGGTGATCAGTAGATAGGGTGCTTCTCTTGCCAGCAGGGAAGTGGGGCATATTCTGAGTTGTCAACCAAAGCTTGTCAGGAGTGTAATTGTGAACCAAGACCTTTATCTCTGTCAGCTGTGTCTCATTCAGGGACTTGGCAGTGAAACTCACCAGATACTTCTGTTCTCCATCTTTCTTTTCTGCAGAGGCAAGGCAGGTGTGATACCTATGCTACTGAATTCGACCTTGAAGCCGAAGAGTATGTTCCTTTGCCAAAGGGTGATGTGCACAAAAAGAAGGAAATTATTCAGGATGTGACCCTCCATGACTTGGATGTTGCCAATGCTAGGCCACAGGTACTGACCTGATGCTTCTGTAACCTTAGCAAGACATCAGGGTCTGGAAATGGATTGTCATCTCAGCTCAGTTTCTTGGAAAAGATGAGACCTTTTCTGTCTGCTATGTTCAACAATTAATGTTGACAATAGCCAGGGGGAATTCTTTTGTTCTTACTCAAATGCTATAGTAACAAATGATTTTTTACCAGCTTGAGGTAGAAGAATCATGCATTTCCAAACCAGCCAGTGTCTTTTCTGTACCCTCTCTAGATGTACTGCTGTCTCTGGAGATCATGTGATTCTTTACAGTTCTGCCCCTTATCAATAGCATTCCCACGCAGATTCTGTACGTACTATAATTTCCTGTCTCCTGAAGGTGCAGTATGTCACTCTAGTAGATGGAATTCATGCTTTAGATAGGGGACGAACTTAATGATTTCTAAGGTTCCTTTTCAAATCCATAGTTCTTTAGCTTTGTGCATACTGCTTGAGATTATGTCTGTATTAAGCTCTTTAACTTGGAATTCAACTTAGTGTGTGTCGTCTCTAAACCTTTGAGGCTAAGCCTAAGTAACTTCTAATGATGATGAGAGCAGTGGTGTTGAGCGCTGTCTCCTTTGAAGCTTCACACACTTTCTTCTCAGTCACGCTGGGAGGTGGAGAGCCCACGTATCATCCTGATTTTCCTCATGAGGAAACTGTGGTTTGGAGAGATTGAAGTGATTTGCCCCAGGTCACAGAGCTGGATTTCTCCCTGCAGACTCCCTGTTGGTCCCTGAGGGGCCGAATCTTGACCCACAGTGGTGGCACTCTGGGGGATCCCTGTGTAGTCTAAAGATGAGTTTACTTAGTGGAGAGAGTGCCGGACCAAGAGTCAGGGTTCAGGCTTCTGGCTCACTTTGTGTCTCTTTCAAGGCCTCACATTCCTCTGTCAAGTAAGGCCCCTGCTAGTTCCAGGTGCATTTCTTTTTTTTTTTTTTTTTTTTAAATTTTCTTAATTAATTTATTTTGATTTATCAATAATCACTTCCATATGCTTTTGAGTTTAAAATTTTTCTCCCCCTTCCTCCCCACCACCCTTCCCAATACGGCACACAATCTGATATAGGCTATACATATACGTTCCTATTAAACATATTTTCACATTAGTGATGTTGTAAGTAAAAATTAGAAGCAATAGGAGGAACCACCAGAAAGAGGAAACAAAACTCACCAGAAGAGAAAAAAAGATAGCAATTCAACTTTCATAGTTCGTTCTTTGGATATGGATAGCATTTTCCATCACTAGGCCTTTGGAAATGTCTTAGATCCTTGTATTGCTAGGAAGGATTAAGTTGATTAGTATTAGTCATCGCACAACGTGGCTGTTACTGTGTACAACATTCTCTTGGTTCTGCTCACTTCACTCAGCAGCAGACCATACAAGTCTTTTCAGGTTTTTCTGAAATCAGCCTGTTCATCATTTCTTATAGCACAGTAGTATTCCATTACATTCATATGTCACAGCTTGCTCAGCCATTCCCCAGTTGATCCTCTCAGTTTCCAATTCTTTGCCACCACAAAAAGAGCTGCTATGAGTATTTTTGTACATGTGGGTCCTTTTCCCATTTGTGTGATCTCTTTGGGACACAGCCCTAGAAGTGCTATTGCTGGGTCAAAGGGTATGCACATTTTTATAGCCCTTTGGGTATAGTTCCAAATTGCTCTCCAAAAAGGTTGGATCATTTCACAACTTCACCAACAATGCATGAGTGTTCCAGTTTTCCCACATTCCGGGTGCATTTCCATCCTCTGTTATGCTTACCGCAGTTTGGGTACCCCCCTGCAAAATCACCTTCCCCTTCAGAATTCATTCTGCTGCCTTTTCCTTCCCAATATACAGTAATGCATCTGGTGGGAGGCAGAGGGATAGAGTTTGTGGTTGTAAATGTGCTCCTCCTACTTAGACTTAGTGACCAGTGACCATGCTAGAAAAGGTATAAAGGAGCTTCCAGCAAGGCTATTCAGGTGCAGGCTCATGCTGGAGGGCGCAGAGCCCCGGTCAGCTGCTCATTCCAGTCTGCCTTTGTCATCCTGTGCAGGGTGGGCAGGACATCCTTTCCATGATGGGCCAGTTAATGAAGCCAAAGAAGACGGAAATTACAGGTACGAAAGCTGGGGGTCTTTGTCGTCTCAGCTTTACCTACTTTTCATTCCCCTTTTAAGGCCATAATGGAAATTGGGGGGAGGGGGAGATTTTCTTGTTTTTAAAGGCAATTGGGGTTAAGTGACTTGCCCAGGGTCACACAGCTAGTAAGTGTCAAGTGTTTGGTCTGAGGCTGGATTTGAACTCCCAAGTCCTCCTGACTTCGGGGCCAATGCTCTATCCACTGTGCCACCTAGCTGCCCCATTCTTGAATGTTTTGAAAGGTGTCTGTAAGAATTAGAGTTAAAGCCAGGTAGGATCCCAGAGCTTTTAGTGTTGTTCCCTAAAATCCTGCTTTACCTTTCACTGTCTAGGGTTTGGTTTTGTGCAGAAATCTATGAGCTCAATAAGCACCTTTTCTCACTCTGCCAGAAAGCAGCACGGTGCAGTGGATAGAGAGTTAGCATCAGACAGGGAAGACCTGGGTTCAAGTGTTGCCTCTCATATACTAGTTGTGTGACCATGGGCAAATTGCTTACCTCTCAGTGCCCAGGTACAAGTACAGATGACTTGTTTGTCTACATTGGTGACAGTTTTAATCCTGGGAGTTCCATACATTGATGAAATCACAACTAACTCCTCACCCCCAAAATACTACTATTAGCAGCTTATGGTTGAATAATAGAAAGCATAGAACTTCCCAAGGTTTTATCAAGTGCTTTCTCATTCATTATCTTGTTTGACCTTCCCAGAAATCCCCATTTTACAGATGAGGAAACTGAGACTCAGAGAAACAAAGTTACTTGCTCATGGTCATACATGTTCTGCCATTAGCAGGCAGGATCAAGACTCAGAGCCATGTCTTCTGATTCTTCATCCCACCCTTGTTCCCCCATGCCACTTTTCCATTCTTCACCAAGTCTCTTTCTATTTACCTTTGGCTGGGGTTAATCTCTTGACAGATGAAAATGTCACTTACATTGTTGTTTTCTTTAATGTTTGCATTTACTTTTTATTTTAAATTAGTTTTGCGAGGAGCAGGGTAAATTGGTGAGAATCTGAGACCTTTGCTGTCAGAGTTTTGTTATGGAACCTGTACCTGCTGTTCTTTTTGGCATACAGAGTGTGTCATTCTCTCATCTTCAGCTGTTTTACTGCGCAGTGATGACATTGTGGGCATTTTGTGATCTAGTGGAATAGTTCTTGCTGATAACAGCTGATGGGAAAATAAGGCCATAAGAATCATGACCTTGAGCAGATGACTTAGCTTTTCTGAGTCTACCTCTTCACTTAAGTTCTGAAAGTTGAACCTTCCTACAAGATGGATAGTAAATCTTCTGTATTTTATTCTCAAGATTAGGGACTTAACATTGAAAGATGGTCTGGATTAGGCCAAGCTTGGTCATGGAATGTGTTTCTCTAGTTCTGTGTTGAAGGTGGATGGTGGGATGTGGGGTCAGAAGCCCGGGGTTCAATTCCTGCCTCTTCTGCTCACTTCCCGGAGGACTCAGGGTGGGGCATTTAACCCCTCCAGCCTTAGGTGCTTTAGGTGTAAAGTATGAGCGGGGGCCAGCCTGCATGTGCCTCCTCTGTGCTCCAGAAATGGGGGTGACGTGGGGTTTTCTTCCATCTCCTAGATAAGCTTCGAGGGGAGATTAACAAGGTGGTCAACAAGTACATTGACCAAGGCATAGCGGAGTTGGTTCCTGGCGTGCTGTTTGTGGATGAGGTACACATGTTGGACATTGAATGCTTCACCTATCTGCACCGCGCCTTGGAGTCTTCCATCGCCCCCATCGTCATCTTCGCTTCCAACCGGGGCAACTGTGTCATCAGGTACGACGCCCTTTCCAGGCTTGAAAGCGTTGTTTCTATAGAAGGGGCAAGAGTTGGAGGGACGTTTTGTCTTCTGGCGTGAATGCAAGGCATGACGTTTATAACCATGAGACTTTTTTTTTTTTCTTAACAAATGTACCAGAATCTCTTCCTTTCAGAGCCTTCTCTCCTACTTCCCCTTTCCCCTGCAAAAAAAAAAAATATATATATATATATATTAGTCTCTTTGCTTTACAGTTATCTTATTTTGGACCAAAAATGGGATTCCCCAGCTCAGTTCCTCCACTTTATTCACCAGACTTGGCTCCAAATAACTCTTGCCTCTATCCAAAAACCAAACGCCCTCACAAGGGATGAAGCTTTGCTCCCAGTGAGATTCAAAAGGATGTGTTGGCTCCGAAGACGGTTCCTAAGATGGGATTCCCATAATACTCTGAGAATTGGCAGCATCTCTGAAGTTAGTGTGTAGCCTCCCGAGGGGACGCTTTTTGAGGGGGAAAATACACATTTGAAGGTGTAAGTTCTGATGTTCCTTCAGAATAAAAAACCAGCCATGTTACTTTATAGTCACACTGCAGGTCCTTGTGGTACTTGTCACGTCACTACAAGTGTTAGATTGGAGTGTTTCCTCCAAAACCAGTGCATTGTGGACAGACAACAGCCTTTCCTGGCTCCAGGAAGAGAGGCAGCTTCTTGCCAGCTTGGCATTAGGAGGAGCCCGGAGATAAAGCATGCCTTCCAGCTTTGCAGCATTTGGAAACCTGGGAGATGATCCTTGTAGCCTAGTGATTGCGCTTCCTTGCTCCTGTGCTCATTCTCCCTCCATGTCTTTTTCTTCCTCCCTCACTCTTCTCTCTCTCTTCTCTTTACCTTTTTCCCTCTCTCTCCCCTTCTCTCCCTCCCTTCTTCCATCTCTCTCCTTTTTTCCCTCTCCTCTTTTTCTTTCTTCCTCTTTCTCTACACACACACATACACACACACACACACACCCCCCATAGTACCTAGTGTGCTGTTAGTATCTACTGTGTGTGATGCAGCACTGTCCAGTTTGTATGTCCATTTCACAGGATGAATAGTGCCATCTGTTGGAGAATATGATGGATGACGCTTTCAAAAGCGTGTCACTGCTTTATTTAGAATATCATTTCACCACTGTGTTCAGACCTTGCTGATTCCAAGTACTATATATGGGTGTCTGACTCTGATTACTTGGAATGGAGTGTCTCTATTAGGGTTGGTCATATCCTACCTGGGAAGGAGAGCACTGGAGGTCTCGATGTCTCACTCTGCCTTATCCATAGTATGCAAAACGTTGGTGTCGAGCCCTGAAGGTTTTGTACTGAGGAATGTTGAGACTTCTATGGGCCTTGGTCTAGATGAATCCTATCATATTAGCAGCTGAAAGAGTCTTCAAGATGTCTAGATTAAGCCCTTCATTTTATAAAGGAGAGAACTGAAGCCAGAGAAGTGACTGACCCACCCACTGGCACATGATGAATCAGTGGAAGAATCTAGAACTGATTCTGGCAGACCTTTAGAGAAGCCAAGAAAAAGGGGACAGACTCATGCTGGAGAAGGTCATTAGCCAGTAAGGACTGACTTCGACAGTGTAGATGGATAGGGTTGGGTATCATGAGAAGCACAGTGATTCCTTATGTACCGTCCAGAGCATTGACCTTTCCCAAGGTGTTCATTGTGATCTCTGCTGCGAGCTCTCAGAGGTTAAGAGGACATCTGTTGGGTGGCCAGGGCAGCAGTCGGTGCTTCCTGGGAGGAATGGGGAGAGCACTGGGGATCTGCCATCACAGATTCTAACTCCAGTATTCCTCCTAGAGAATGCTATACCTGCAGAAGAGGTCTTAGAGGCCTTTAGGTCTTTCTAACCAGCCTCTTCTTTTACAAATAGAGAAATAGACTCAGAAAAGTTTTGTACAAGGACACAGGGTCCTTTCCCCATTGAGTGGGGTGAGTGAGACTGGCCTGCAGCTAGAAGACTACCATACTGTATGTCTGGATGATGGTGCAGGTCTCTGGGGAGCTGGGGCTCACTGTTTGCACCTAGGCCTTGTCCTCAGTGCTTATTGCCACCCACTGATGACAGCTCCGCATAGCTAATTATGCATCCAGGGCAGACATAGATAAGGAGGACCCCAGAGCTGGGAGGTGACCACAGGCTATGAGACTCAGCCTGGATAGGAAAGCCTCCCCAACTTCCAGCCCTCCTTGGGAGTTGTGGGGGTACCAGGGATGGCAGCAGCCAGAGAGAAGCACCTCTTATCCTAGGCTGTGCCAGGAGCTCAATGTCCAGCGTGGAGTCAGCCCAGAGACCCAAGTATCAACCCAAAAGTCTCTGCGGAGACTAGAAAATAAAGCAGGATATTGTGGAAAGAACATTGGCACCTTAGATACCTGACTTCTAGTCAGTTCTCATCCTGTCTCTGCTGCCAGTCTGTATTACCTGGGACAAGTCATATAACATCACACAGGGCCACACCTACCCACAAGTTTGTTTGCAGATAAATGAACTCTCCTATATAAAGCACTTTGTAAGCATTTAAAGCATTGTGTAAATGTGAACTATTTTTAGAGCTTTAATTTCTTTATCTCTAAAATGAGATGTTTTACTACTTGATGATCTTTAAAGTTCCTTCTGCCTCTAACATTAAGGATTTTGTGTTTCTGGTTTCCCACTCAAGTAGACCCTCCAAGGATCCATTCAGCAGTGTTTTCTGGTCTCTCAACAGTTATGGTAATTTAACCCAAAGTTATGAGTTGCAGTTTATCATAAAGGCTTTAGACAAGGGCCAGCAACTAGGATGGCTTAAATTTAGGTTAGACCTATAAGAGAAATATGGGTAGGTAGCTGGCACAGTGGATAGGTCTGGAGTCAGGAAGACTCATCTTTCTGATTTCACATCTGGCTCAGACTCTTACTAGCTGTGTGACTCTGGGCAGGTCACTTAACCCTCTTTGCTTCAGTTTCCTCATCTATAAAATGAGCTGGAGAAGGAAATGGCCTAACACTCCGATGTCTTTGCCAAGAAAACCCCAAATGGGGTCACCACGAGTCAGATACAATTGAACAGCAACAACAGAAATATGTCTAGATGACTTGAATAAACATACCAGTGATGTCTCCTTATTATTAGTATTATCTAGAGGGATGCCTCATGTTACTAGAGGAAAAATTAGCTCAGACTTAAAATTCATACTACAGTTAATGGCTGTCCTTCATGAAGGACATTAAGTATTAGTGGACCTTATTGTTGTAATTGATGAATAACGGCTGATATACCTAAGGATAGGAGAAGAAACCATTTAGTAAATTTTGAACCCACTAATTTTTTCCCCAACTGGCGTCAGAACAATGACACTTTTTAGATAACTGCATTCTATTCTGTAGTCATGAGCAAAATTTGAGATTATGTTATTTTAGGCAGAACGTTAAGACACCAACCTCTCTTGAATTTCATGCATCAAGGCGACTTGGTTGGCCACCAACTTGCTAGGTGACATTGGGCGTTATTTCCTTCTCTGGGCCAGAGTTTCCTCATCTCTAACATGGGGAGGTTAGATTATATCCTAAGATCCTTTGCATTTCGGTGACTCTTGGATATTCTGTGGCTAGCATGATACACATCAAATAGAATGTTTTTTCATTTCTTCTTTGACAGCACTGAGAAGAAAGTCTGGCCCCATATGTAGTTATAGAATATGACATTCATTTCAAAGTTATTTATGTTTTCAAAACAGAATCCTATTGATGGTGTTCCATGTTGCTTAGTTTCCCATGCCTCAGAATGAGACTTTGCTGTTTAGTACTTTCTAACAAAGTTCTAGTGATATTTGTTGAGTTGCAGAGCTTCACATTCATTGGCCTGGGCTGACTAGGTGAAATTAGCTCCCAGGAGGAGCCTGTGGCTTGGAGCCCTGGTTGGGAGGTAGCACCTGTGAATGGTGCGTGGATAGCTTACTAGAGCAGTTGGGACCCTTTCTCTGGACCAGAAGTGCTGTATGTTTGTCAGGAAGTTTGTACGTATCTGGCAGTCACTTTGCTAAAAGGAACCTTAATAGAGCTGTCTTCCAGCTCCAGCTATTTAAAGTGATGTCATTCATGTGATGCAGTGGAAAGAGTCCTTGTCTTTGAGTTGGAAAACCTGAGTTTGAGTCTTGACTGACATTTAATAGCTCTGCAACCCCTGGATAGGACACTCACTTTTGTGAGCCTTGGTTTCTTCATCTGATTTCCCCCAATTGCTAATGATCTCTGTTCCTAACCACCTGGCATTTTTTTTTTAACTTATTCTCTATGCACGTGTGGTCTCCCCCAGTAGAATGTAAACTCCTAAGTGCAGCGGCTTTCATTGTTTTGTCTTTGTGTCCCCCCTCACCCAGCACCCGCCTGGCACACGGCTTGTGGTGAGGACGATGCTTGGTAAGCCTTAAAGCACTACATTAATGTAAATTGTTCTTAGTCATATTAATCATACCAAGTGTTTGAGTACCTGTTATGGAGAAAGCTCCGTTCTAAACGTTGTGGGAGATGGAAAGAAAAATGGTGTGGTCTTTGACCTTGAAGAGGTGAAATCTTCTTTGTTGAAAGTCAGCCTTAAAGCAGTGACCATTTCCCTTTTGTACGTATGTCCCCAGTGGCTGGCACATAGTAGGCCCTTAATAAGCTTTTGCAGATCAGCTGATGTTGAATCCAAAGCCCCAAAGTCCCCAGGTAATAAAAGAGAACCCACATATCTCTGTGAAGAAATGGGAACGCTTCCATGATCTACACATGAAGAATGAGTCTTACCACTTTATCTTTATCCTGAAAGAATAGGTGATGTGTGTTTAGTGTGAACACTTTAGCTTAGGTTTGCAACATCTACATTTTTCTGAAAGAGACTTGAGTAATGTAATTATTAACACTTGCTAAATGACTTTTCCAGAGGTACCGAGGATGTGATCTCTCCTCATGGAATTCCCCTTGACCTTCTGGACCGAGTGATGATCATCCGCACCATGCTGTACACCCCACAAGAAATGAAACAGGTGATGTGTGCTGAAACTAGGGGCCCGAGAGCCAGCCCTGCCCAAGGCTCGCTCCGTGTGCCTTGCAGGACATCTTTCCACACCTCAGTTTCCTTCCCTCTCTGTAAAATGAGAGGCTTGTTATACCAGATCATCTCTAAGATTCCTTGTAGCTCTTGACATCCCATGATCTCATAAGGAGAGGTTGATCCGATTTCACAGACCGGAGCCTCTTAGAGATGTTTTTTGAAGACCAACTAGGAATCTTCTTCTTTGGATCAGTCATGAGTTGGGGCCTCTCTAAGCTACCCATGTAGTTCAGTAGGGCAGCGATCCCGTTGGTCCATTTGCCCCAGACGTTCCCCTGTACAAGGCATGAGCTTCACTGAACAGAATGCTGTGATCTGGGTACAGGTGCCCGTCTACCCCAAACCTGTGGGGTGTCGAATAAGTCTTGGAGCCTCTCTGGACCACTGCCTCCTCTCCGAGGAATGCAGAGGTTGGACCAGATGGCCACTCAGTTGGCGATATTGGCAGTGTGTCCATTTCAGTGAAGAGACCTTCCCCTGGTCCCTTGTTGAGCCCAGCCTCAACCCTAGTCTTGAGGTACCATTATGATCCATCTTGTTAAAGGTTATCCCCCTTGTTAGACTCTCAGTGCTGTGAGAGGACACAAGGTGTGGAGTAAGGGGAGTGGGGATGGGGGAGGCATTGTCGACTGTTTGTGGTATTTAGGAGATAGTGTTAAGAGAGGAGAGGCTGTCACCAGAGAAAGGCCAAGGTGAGGCCAAGGAATTCTGGGAGAAAAGGCTTTCCTGGGTGCTGTGTAGTTTTGGGAAACCTGCTCTTTGCTGCGGAAGTCCAAGATGTTTCGGTAGCATGTTTTAAAATTAGAGGCCTCGAAAGGTTGGATCCGCATCTTCATTAACAAAGCACACAGTTCCCAAAGAATGGATTTTCCTTCCATGCTTTGAAAATATGGAATTTAGACAGTTTGACCACTATAGTTTGCACCCTCTGCCCTGTGTTCAGTCTGGATGGCAGCTGTAGCCGGGCCTGGTGTACCTGTCGGCTTGGGCTTGTCCTCTTTGTTCCAAAGGGTGAACTAAGGACGATACAACAGCTCGTATTTTGAATTGCCTTTCTGCCTTTGGTTAAAGTCATAACCTTAACGCTATTTTAACATAGGAGTTTTTTGTTATTAAATATAACTTGGGTACTATGCTATCAAGTTGGACACCCTCATAAACTATCCCTGTAGGTTATTAAATGATTAAAGATCTAATTTATGAACTGTCCATTTTTGAACAGTCTGGAACAAGAGCTCTTATGATTGCTGTGACCTGCTCATGAGGAGGGAGCGTCAGTGACATTTCTGTAGCTGAACCTCAGATTTAGCGTATTTCCCAGAAGGCAAGTTACTGAACATTGCCTTAATTAGGCTCATGGATTAAATAAAGTCACACATCTTTAAAGAATGCCCTAATGGGACTTTCTCCTTGGCAAAGAACCTGAAAGAATTCGAGTTCAGTCTTGACACCTTGTAAAAGAGTATTTGGATCGTGAGCCAAAAAATTCCAGCTTCCTTTCATTTAACTCCACTTAACCGTAGACTCAATTTGCATGTGCACATGCACCTTCCTCTGAACACAAGGGTTCTCCAGGACCTGCTCATCACCAAACCCATCACTTATTTCAGACACGATGCCTGTGGAAAATTCCATTGTCAATTGATTGAACAAAAAGATAGTGATTTAATATCCGAATTCATTCTGCAGCTTCAGTTCTAGCAGGATTGAGTCCCAAATGTGTGAATTATACAATGTGAGTGTTTCCTTCTGTTTTTAAGATGGATATTTCATAGCAGCCTCATAACTTGATAGTTTGAAATTGGGACTTGAGGTTGTGCCGTGGGGCATCGTGTGAATATGGATTTGGTTTGTCAATAGTAACTGCTTTTCTGTTTCCAAGCTTTCATTTTCACAAGATGGATTGTCCTTAGGTTTTTGGGTTTGTTTTTAAGTATGTTAGTTCCAGGCTGACTTGTTTGCTTGTCATCCTTTTCTTTCAGAGATAAGTGAGCCCCTAAACTACCTGGGAACTTCTCATCACATAATACTTTATTGGGCTTCTTATAAGCCCAATATGTCCCCTATATGTGACTGGTAGACAGTCCATGTTCGGTGGTAATTGTGTAGAGAAATACGATATAATAGGAAGAATACTGGAATAAGAGCAGGAGGCCTGGGTTCAGAATCCTACTTCTAATATTTACAGGTCATGTGGTCAGGGCCAGTTATTTGTCCTCTCTGAACCTTAGGTCTTCAGATGTGAAATAAGAATGATAGTACTTGGATTATTTGCTTCCTAGGTTTATGAAGAAAGTGTTTTGTTAACCTCAAAATGATATAGAAACATGAGCTCCTGTTTGGGGGGGGAGGTGTATGGGTGTGTGTGTGTGTGTGTGTGTGTGTGTGTGTGTGTGTGTGTGTGTGTGTGTGTGTGTTGGGGCTGCAGCCTGTATTCAGTCCCTTTATGTTTTTATATCGCCGGCTGAGTAAGTAGCATCATTATCTCATTGGCAGGTTCGGAAAGCGAAGGCTTAGGGAGGCTCCATGACTCCCAGATAGTGAGGACAGCTGAGATTTGAACCCAGGTCTTTCTCCCAGGCTCGTGTTCCTTCCCTTTCACAGATTGATGCTTGTTGGTTGAAGTGTGCTCTGCTTGATCAGCACTTCTTTCATGTCCTCTTATAAAACTCCTTCATGCTAGAACATCTTCAGACCAGGGCCACCTTTCTTAGGTTCATTCTTTCCCTGTTTCCTTCCCTGGGTGCGTTTTTATGTCTTTAATTTAAACAAGCGCTTCTTGATATCTTGTTTACGAAGCTGCCAAAGTGAAAAATACCTGTATTATATGAGGCTGGAAGTTGCAGAGTTATCTCCGCAGTCCAACACACACCATCATTATCCAGGCTGCCCCTTATCACTCAGCTGGTAATGCCGCCGCCGACGTCGGGCCGGCTCCTGGTGCCACTGTTGTAACGGCCTCCTGCTCTCCAGCGTGGTGGAGATACCGTCAGCGCCAACTTCACAAAGATCTTCAGCCTGGAACAAGTTAAGGCTCTGCTTGATAGATTAGATTTCTCAGGGTGATGTTAAAATGGTAGCTGAAGCTTTGAAAGTAACTTTTTGATTTATTTTACCATCTTATTTATCAAGAGACTAAAAACGTGTACTGTGCTCAGTGTGCTGGGAGGCTGTGGCGCCTGTGATTTAGAGTGAGCGGCATGATGGGGTACATACTGTGGGGCAGTCCTGAAAGAGTCTGTGTGAACTGAGACACATCGTGCCCTTGAGTACTTCAAAAGATTAGTGATTTTTGTCATTGTGTGCACAGATTGAAGTCTTTCCGTACCCTCGATAGAGTCACGAGTCGTGGGTGAAAGAATCCATGGCCGAGTAGCTATTCTTGTGTTGACAAAACCTTCCCGAGCCTGTGGCCCTTGCTCAGTGGCCTGTCGCCAGCCTTCCAGATCTTCTCCTGTGCTGGCACGGCTTTTGAGGGCCAGGAGTCTTCTTCATGCTGCAGTGGAGTGTTGGCATAAACTACAGGCAGGCGTACAAGAGACAGAAGGTCCTTCTCAGCCTCCTCTGAATTTGGGAAAACCAAGGCTTTCAGCTTCCTCTTAGAAATTAGAAACCAGCTTTTACTGTAAGAAATGCTCAGTGAGCAATATGTGAAAACGTGGGAAACATACCTGAACATTGTTGACTCTTCCTTTTCTTTTCTAATAGATAATAAAAATCAGAGCCCAGACAGAAGGGATTAACATCAGCGAGGAAGCATTGAACCACCTGGGAGAAATCGGTACCAAGACGACATTAAGGTGAGCTGAGTTCTGTGCTGTCAGCCCAGCGTCAGATTTATCCTGGGTATTCAGTACCTTTGTGAACAAGGTTTGACAAGGGGGTGTTTGTTCCCACCATTTTCTAGGGGGTGCCAGGATAGTCACCTGCTCCCTGGTGGTGGCAGCAAGCCAGCCTCATTTACGGTCTAGGATGTTGGCATTCTTTGTGTGACGTGGTTCATCCTCTGCCTCAAGCCACCCACTGACCTTGCTGACCTTGCCGAATCAGGTCCAGTGCCCTGCTGGACTTTACTCTGGATCTGCCTGACCATGTGCTGCTAAATTTGATGTGGAAATGACAGGAATACATCCAAGCAAGGAAATAGCTAGGTTGTGGTGACCACAGACCTTGCTCTGGCTGTCATCTTTCATTTGAGAATTGATGGGGTTTTTTTCCCAATTACACCCTTCAAACTGTCTCTGGGCATAGCTTAGGACACTGTGTTTCCTCTCAGGGACATTCGCATGTGGGCTGTTTTTCAGTAAATGAGTTAGATCTCACTGCTCTGTGAGAGAAGTTATTCCTGCTGTTCTACTCTTGTAGAACTTTGCTTGAGTGCAAGACTTTTAAAATTGTGCCATTTGGTATTTGCCAAACAGCTCCAAGGAGCTCAGGGCCCTTCACTTCTCTGCCCACGGTTTGGTGGCTTTTTGTTTTTGTTTTTGTTTTTTTTTAATAGTAGAGATAAGTACTGTGTGGTGCACAGTGAATTGGTAGAGGGATTATATAGGGCAGTATGCTGAGATTGGAATTGCACAGATGAAGGTAGGCAGGTGTTTGCTTTATTTATTTATTAACATAAGTCATTAGTAGTTTTAAGCACCCCACATCAAAATAATGATAGCTGACATTTATATAGCGCTTACCTCGTGCCAGGCACTGTGCTAAGTGCTTAACAGCCATCATCTCCGTGGATCCCCACGACAGCCCTGAGAGGTGACACAGCCGTTTTTAAGTGAGGAGAACAAAACACTTCACCAGTGGACGCTGGTTAAGTATTTTCCATTCCTGAAATGACAGCAGGGTTAGTGGGCTCTCTTCACAGCTGCTAAGTTAGTGATGTTTGTCCCTGGCCCTCTCTTACCTCCCCTCTCTGGCTCCTTCTCCGTACAAGCTCTCCCTGGCCCACCCTCTGTCCTGTTCCAAGGAAGAGTAGCCTCTAGGTACCTGTCTGTCAGCTAACTCCCACTAAGATGTTGTCTCTAATGGTTAGCGTGTCCCCAGCACAAGGGTTTTAATGGGAGCTTTAATGGGAGACATTTGGAGAACAAAAAGGCATGAGAGCTAATAAAAAGGATGTAATGGTGGAATATCAGGCACCAGAAGTGCCTGGGGTGGGGGGCAGGGAGCAAGCGTGTCTTGAGGAAGAAAAGTCTGCCGTCAGCACTGCCCTTGAATTGGTTAGTGGGCCTGTTTCTGACCCAAATCTGCCCCTTTATACTTCAGACAAGTTACCGATCATCTCTATGAAAGATTTCAATTCTAGTTGTTAGAAAACTTGAACTCATGTGGTGTTTGGTGTGGTTGGAAGCAGGGAGCAGTCATTCTCTGATTTTCATCTTTTGTTTTACCCTGTTTGCTGTAGATACTCAGTGCAGCTCCTGACCCCAGCCAACCTGCTGGCCAAGATCAATGGGAAAGACAGTATTGAGAAGGAACATGTCGAAGAAATTAATGAACTCTTCTATGATGCCAAGTCTTCAGCCAAAATCCTAGCTGATCAACAGGATAAATATATGAAGTAAAATGATGGTTGCATCTTAACCCTTTGGATTTGAAATGGAAAGACACCAAGAATGTGCCCTGGCCTGCTGAAACAGTAAAGACATGAGGATGGATATTTCTGAAGCAGAGAAACCTCTGCCCTTAATGTCTGTGTTCACTTAGCTATATTATCAGTTTTGTGTGGAACGATTAATTTAAAATTATCCTATCTTCTCCCATAGTTGCAGTGTTTCATCCTTTACCTGGAATATCTTCTAATAAATCTTTTGAGTTTATTTTGGTTAAATTGCTTTTCTCTATGCAGAAAAAGATCTCTAAGCTTTTCATTTCTCAGTTGGAAAGGACAGGAAGAAGAAACTTCATTTTGAAAGTAGCCGCACAGACCATGATCAGACTTATCCAAAAACAGACCCTCGTGAGCTAATGGGCTTGGGTTGAGGTATTCTAGCTCCCCGTGACTGTGGACTGCTTCCCCCAGCGCTCTCACTGAGCCAAATGTCCTTTGAGAAGTTGGGTTCCTTCCCCCCTTTGCTTTTCCAGGTCTGACCCCACATACTCCACAGTTCTGTTGCCCAGCTCTGACGTGCATGCCTAGGCATGGTTGTAGTTAGCACACAAAGAGTACTACTTGTTGGTTGGTTTTTATTTTCCATCTGTCATCGCCTTGACCAGATGGGCATTCGCCTCGCTCCCAAACTCAGACAAAAACAGGCGTTTAAATTACCTTAATCCTAGTGCACTTAGAATTTTCACATAATTAGAGACTCTCCCACTCCTAAACCATGGAGAACATTTGTTTAGGGTTATCTCAGAGTGTCTGGCAAGGGCTTCCTTCACTTGGACTGGGGGAGCCTACTCTCCAGCAGAGGTGGACCGAGTGCCCCGATCTTGGGAGATGGCAGGTCTAGGTCTGCTGGGTGGCCGTGGGTCGGTGACCCTGCCACCTCTGAGCTTTGGCACTCTCGTGTAGGAATACTTGGCTTGTGCCTCCTTCCTCAGAAGTTGGTGAAGAAAGTGGCCTTTAAGACACAAAAAATGCCGCCATCTATAAAAACGTGGATGTGTTTTCTAAGAGGAAAGCACGCTGCTTCATTTCCAAGAGAAATTTGCCTTTAAGAATGGGTGAAGTGCACCCAAGTACTGCTGAGAAAATATTCCCAAAGATAATCGGAGAGGCTCAGCTTGGCTGTGACCACAGTTTGGGAAGGGAATGTCCTGCCTCTGTCGTTCATGTATCTGTAAGAACTGTCCTCTTGGGGCTTTAAAAAAAAATCAAACGTCATCTAAATGTTGAATCTTAGCGCTGAAGGGACATAATCTGAGGGGCTTGCTTCATTTCACAGATAAGGAAATTGAGCCCAGAAAGGTGACAGGATTTGGCCCAAGGTCATGCCACTGTTTAGCTTCAGGAACAGGACTAGAACGGGGGCCTCCTGATTTTTAGGCCCAAGTCTTTTCCATAATGCCTTCCATATTAGCCCTCCGTAATCATGGCTCAGATTCTGATTCAAACCTTGCAAAAAACTATCTCTAGCCAAAACCCAAAACATCAAATGTCTCCATTGAGATGAAATGTTTCTCCAGCCAATGGAGTGATGCCCCACAGAGTTATTTCGTGTCAAAAGCAATAGCCATCATCCTCCTGACAAAAGGTAGCGGAGGTGCTCAAAGATGTTCCCGAAACTCTGGTTATTTTCAATCATCAATAAGGCTGACAGCAGGTGTACCTTTCTGGGTGGCGGCTCGAGCTCAGACGCGGGGCACATTGGTTTTGGACACAGACGAAGGTTGTATTATTTTAATTTTGTTCTCCCTGTTTCCCAGGAGGGCCTGTGATTATTACATTAATCTTCCAGGAGAAGTTTTTACGACCGATTCCTTGCAGACTATGAGAAGTTTCTCCATCCATTACCAGGAGGGAAACAGACCCCGGTGGGGAGGAAAATATTTGTTACATCTTATCAGGATGACACGTAATCTAACAACAATTACAGCAGACCCATATTTTGTACTATTTCAGCTCCCATGTGAAAAATCGTTCTAATATTAAAGCTGGACCGAGTGGAGGGAGTGGGGGGTGGGGAGAGTAAGCGGCTGAATGTTGGAGGCTCTGGGGCCCCAGATCTCCGTTCAGGCATCACCGAGAGCCCGTTTGGGAGCTGATGTAGGCAGGCATAAGCACATAAATCCCAGCTACGTGTCTCCTATGCAAATGTGACACGATATAGATGTGTGCTGGGAAAGGAACATGAAAGATGATTGCCTCAGTCCATATCTCTTTGGTGAAATTGCCTTGTATCCCTGTGTTCCATTTTCTTAAGGTAAATGCCCCGTCCCCTTACTAGCTGGGGTTGATCTCATCAGATTTAGTTGCACTGAATTTTTTTTTCCTTTTTAAGGGCAAAATGTATTATGATATATAATTTCACCTTTTAAAATCTCTCTGTGACCCTGATCCCAGGTAGGTATTGCATCCAGAGATGACGTCTTCTTACAAAAACCATCTGAGACATCTTTCAATCCTCTTCCAGTGCTCTGTCCCCTTTGGATCGTAGGTTCGTAGCCGTGGGGATGGAAGGAACCATCTAGTCCAAATCCCTCAGTTTGTAGATGAAAAAACAGGCATTCCTTCACTTCCTCTCTCTCACTCTCTCCTTAACCCCTTACAGTCCAGCTTCGGACATCATTCTACCAAGACAGCTTTGTCTGAAGGTGCCAGTGATCTCTGAGTTGCCAGATCCAATAATGACCTTTTCTCAGTCCTCATTCTCCCTGGTCTCTGCAGCGTTTGACGCTGTTGATCGCTCCATCCTCCTTGATATGCTCTTCTCTAGGTTTTCAGGCCTTCCACCCATCTGACTCCTCTGTCTCCTTTGCTGGAATCCTCCTCCAGGGCACACCCTCTGACTGTAGGTGTCCCTCAGGGTTCTGTCCAGGACCATCTTTTCTACTCTCGGTGATCTTACCAGCTCCTGTGGATTTAATCACCATCGCATGATTCTCAGATCCACCTATTCTGCTGACCTCCAATGTCCTATCTCCAACTTACAATCAAAACATCTCTTTCAAACAGCTCTAAAACCTTTCTTAAAATCACCTAAACTCTCCTCCCTTCCTCCCTTCCCTCTTACTGTAGAGGGCAACGCCAGTCCTCCCAGTCCCTCAGTCTCTCAACCTAGGCGTCAGCCTGGACTCCTCACGATGTCTCATCTCCCATATCCAAGCTGCTACCAAGGCCTTCTGACGTCACCTTTGTATCATCTCCCCAAATACCCGCTTCTGTCCTTGGACACTGCCACCCCTCTGGTATGGGCCCTCATCACCTCATGCCTGGATTACTGCAATAGCCTGCTGGTGAGTCTGCCTCTCTTCCAGTCTCCCCAACACCAATCCATCCTCCATTTAGCCACGAAGTCACTGCTCTGTAAGTAAATCACCTTACTCCACAACATGTACTCTTCCATCCAGTGTCACTGGCCTTCTGGCTGATCCATGAACAATCCATCTCTTGGCACCAGGCATTTTCTGGGGCTTGTCCACCATGCCTGAGATGCTCTCCCTTCTCATCTCTACCTACTGGCTTTCCTTTAAATCCCAACTAAAATCCCACCTCCTTTCCCAACACTTCTTAATTCTAATGCCTTCCACCTCTTAATTCTTTCATATTTGTCCTGTATATAGCATATTTGTATACATTTGGTTTCATGTTGTCTCCCCCATTAGATTGCAAACTCCTTGAGGGCAGGGCCTGTCATTTGCCCCCGTTTGCCACCAGCAGTTAGCTAGTGCCTGGCACTTAGTTGGCATTTAATAAATGTTGAGCTATTGCTTGCCCAAGCTCCGTGTCAAATAGAAAACTGGGACCTCTAATCCATACATAAGGATCCCTGTTGCCACATATTGACTCAGTTTAAAAATATAATATTTTCTGTGTTTTATTGTATTTAAAAAAAATTTTTTTTATTTCCCAATTACATCTTAATCCAGTTCCTGAGGCACTTTGGAGTGTTGTGTCCACCACAGATTAACACCCCTGCTCTTAAAGGATTTCAAATGGCCTTACCAATGCTTACCAATGTAGCCATCTGTCAACATGGTGCCATGGAAAGTGTCCTGGGATGTGGGTTCCTCTCTGGACCATTCCACTTATTAGCTGTGTGACCTTGGGCAAGACCTTGAACCTTAGTTTCAAATTCTTCATCTAGAACATGGGGGGCCTCTAAGGCCCCTCCCGGCTCTACATCCAAGATTGGATGATCTACAGAGCTCCGTCTAACAACAGGGGGAGAACACTCTCCTACATGTGATGCTCTGGCTTCTACTTAGCCCCTCCAGTGACAGCTGTTTCCTTATTGTATTGACAGATGCCTCTTTGTAGCTTCCATCCGTCACTGCAACCAAGAGGAGTAAATCATGTTAACCCTTCAGATGCTTAAGGACAACAGAGTCCCTCCACCCCCATCCTCAGTCTGTTCTCCAAAAGAAACATCCCCAGTCATTTCAGTGGATTCTTAGGTTATGGTCATTTAGTCCCTTCTCCATCTTGGTTACATACCAGATAAGTTCTGCACAAACCTCATCCACTACTCGTTCAGTTGGTTTTCTTTTTAACTAAGCGAGGAGAGGTAGCATGCATGAGGTAGGGGAAAGAGTCCCAGATGTAGAATCTAACACTGGCTTTGACCCTACCTTCCCTTCACCTCTAGGCCTCAGTTGCCTTCTCTGTGAAATGGGGGGCTTAGACTACATCACCTCTAAGGGCCCTCCAACTCCAGATCCTATGGCTTTAAATTTCACCTCATTAGGTTGGGACCTTTGCCCTTTTGCATCTTTCTGGATCTTGAATCCCAGTGCGAGTTACCGCACACATCCACTCCCACACAAGTTTTATTTCACTCTGTTCATCGCCCTGTTCTAATTCTATCATTGCTTTCCTTGATCTTACAGAAGCCAAAAAACATAAAATATTTTAAATTTAAATGGAGAAGTTGTCCCATTCTTCCATATGTGTGTGTGCCTGGCTTTTTTCAAGACTTTGCTCACCCTGTATGGGTAGTTTTTCCTGAACCCCCACCTGCTAGTGGGGGTTTGTTTCCCCTCTAAAGCTACTTTCTATCCACTTTATGTTTTATCTCACATGTACCAATTCATGTGCCTGTTGTCTCTCCCATCAGAATGTAAGTTCTCTGAGAGCTGGTATTATTAATTGCTTTTTCTTTGTAACCCCAGTCCTAGCTCAGGACTAGACACATAGTGCTTAATGACTGACTGCCTT